TCTGAAAAGAGTCAGGCTGTCTTACCTGCGATCCTGTATGTGTGTATCACTGTGCATGTTTGGTGTCCAAAGTTTGCTTCTTTAGTTTTGCCCTGGGGACACAAGCCTAATAATCAATGAAAGCTTACATCTCACTAATTACCATCTATAAAAACAGAAGCAGAGTATTTCTTTGAGATTTGAGCTGTTATTACTGTTCTAGCTATGCAACATACTTCTGTCCATTTTTATCGATTAGTGGTAGCTAACCCTCTTTCTGGAGATCCACCCTATCCCACAGTGCCTAACATTGATCTGATCCAGCCAATCACTTCTGAAGCAGTTAATTAGCTGGAGCAGGTGTGGTAGATCACAGTGGAACTAGACAGCTCTGGCCCTGAAGTGTCCGGTGTCCAGCACAGTTTGGTGACTTTCCCACTCAAACACAGCTGAATCAAGTGATCTGTTAATTGCCAGGTTTACTGGGTGTGTTTGAGCTATGAGCAGTTTTAAAGGGGTGATCAGAATGGCCAATGCTCCCTATGAAATCTAACTGGCCATCCCAGATGCCACCCCAAAATTTCTGTCCTCACTGTGGGGCAGGTATTTACGCCTTTTAGCAGAGAGTTGTTTTGCTATCAGGGATCTGCGGTCCAACCTCTCTTCCCTTTGCACCCTGGTAAAATTATCTAGACCTGCCAATGGTTTGAGCAGGAGAACTACCAAACTGTGCCAGACACTGGCCTTCCAGGACTGGATTTGTGCACCCCTGAACTAGACTCTATAGGAAGGTAGGTCTTGTGGGGGCTTGACCCCCAAACTGCACCTGTTGCTGAATGCTGATTAAGACTTTTGTTTTATTGGCTCACTATCAAAACACCTACATGAATTACAGCAAACCTCATGTAAATTATATGTATATGAGGGCAAATAGAGGTGTGTCCATTGCAAATGATATGTAAATAATCATCAATGATGCAATCAGACATAGAGTAGATCTTACACTCAATCAGTACTCAAATATGCACTCATTTCTATGCAGGGTTGATTAATAAGGGCCATTGTCTTGGCTGACGGACTACATTTGGAATAAGGCACGAATTAGTTTCGTGCCTGAACTATTCATTTAACAACAAACCGTCCTTAAGCACTCACACTGTGGTCTTTAAATCAATATCAAACATTATAATGAGCAACCAAAAATGAACTTAAATGCTGAAGAGATTTACACAGTAAGACTTTAGCACCACATGAAAGACTCTTCTCTAAAGCAAGAGAAAGGAATAGAGTGGGTGGTGATGGAAGATGGAATCAGAAGGGTTACAACAAAAGTTGTCCAGTTTGTTATTGTATTTTATTCAAATTCTTTGCTATCATGTATCATTATTTTATACTGTGTGACCCATAGTGTTTGTGGCCTGCCTTTACATCATATGATGTGGGAGGAGGCCTATAAAGCCTCATGCATTTTAATTGTATTTAATATATTCTTAAATGTACTATAAGCCATTTAACAAAGACTAACAAGAAGGCTCGAAACTCAAACTGATCTGAGGTTGATGCAAATTGTGTGGCTGGGGGAGGGATTTGTTGTGATACATCTCAGTCAGGTTAGACACCTAAACCAACCGGTTCTCTGTCTACGTGGTTGCGCTGGGGTTCTCAGTTTCCAAACTTTCCATTAGTCACAACTCAGATTATGACTACCAGTTTTCTTGAAACCTTATTATTGACAACTGACTTGCTGTGCATTTTATTTTGCTATTAATGTAGCTTAGTTCAAAGCTGAGCTAACATTTGCAATCTACATTTGCTACCTGGCTCTAAAGTGGCAAGTTCATAATTAGGCATATAGCATAAAGAGCAGAAAGTGGAGGCAGCTGGCGCTTATAAATAGAGCCACTGAAAACAGCACAGGCCTAACCAAATCCACATGAAATGGATTATGACCTGCAGGTCACAGGAGCCGCCTGCCTTTCTTGCTGGTTTGATTCCACATCTTGCGCACATACACAGCCTGCCTAGAGATGGTGTGGTTGCACACCGAGCAAAGGGGTACATGCTGTAGATGTGTCTCGTAAAGGCAAAAGGTAAAAGCATATTTACAGATGCTTTGCATCAGTGATAAAACACTAACAGGCTCGTAAAGGAGATGAATGGAAAGCTCTTAACGACGTCATTAATTCAGGAGCCCAATGAGAGTTCAAAAGTGAAATGCTTCAATTAAAAATAGCAGAAGAATTACCGAATTGCTATAACTATTGGTTGATACTCAAGGTTGCAATACCTGTATCAAAAAACAAAGTTACACTGTGCTATCTGTAAACAAACATTCTTCTTATATTTGGGTACAACTTTATATGACCTCACTCAATTTCAGATTGTCATTTTCTGCTATGTTTCAGGATGTACTGCAGTAAACAAGGTATGACAACTATGCTTCTGTCTGCAAATTCCTAAATGTTTTCAGTTTAAGTCAGCCCAAAACGAGTATCACTGCTGTAGGTGTGTCCAAGAGCTTTTCTGGTGCACATGGTATGAAAGCAACCATCAAGTGAAACTCACACAAATAGGTTCCCTGTTCATGTCGACAAATATAAAATCTGTGTTGACAGCAACATGGCTCACTTATGTACAGACTGTGAGGTCCAAAAAATTGTTGTCAGATTAAATATTTGTTAAATGTGAAAGTCTTCCACCCCTCCAACAAAAGAGACATGTCAACAAACAGAAACCCAGTAAAACTAAGCACAGGACAACTAAACATTTCAGTTAATGTCAATTTTATTCCTCTTTTTTTTAAAAAAAAAGAAACTAATACAAGCTCATTTGGTTACTTTACGTACACAGTTCTCGTCATCACTCTTGTTATCACTGAAGTCTCATTATTCAGTGATTTTTTTTCATGCTGTGAACAACATAGCCAACAGTCTATACAAATACACACGTCACAGGAGGAAAATGACTCTGTTCTCTATTCCCGAAACTCTTCAAACTTCATTGAAAACTCATAAAAGCAGTAAAAATGTCGACTCTATAAAAGGAGAAATGAAAGAAGTACAAAACCCTGACTGTAGAAGCTGGAAAAGAGACAATAGCAAGCCTGTGCTGAGCCTAGGCGATTAACTCAAGTGCTCGGCTAAAGGCACAGGAGTAGAGTTCCCTCCTCGTAGAGGGCTGTGCACCATGAGTGGGAGAGGCGAGAGATGGATGTGTCAACGAGGGCGCTGGTGAAATATTTATGCTAAAGCTAACAAGCAGGGACACCGAGACCAAAGAGAGGGAGGGAGAGATGCTGTTGCTTGACTTGAGCTTGTCAGAAGCAAATGTTGCTTTGGAAAGAAGAGGTAGACTAGCAAACTCTCACTAAAGGTACTTTAACATCTCCATTTTTACCTGATATGATCCATTAGGGCACTGACCCAGCTGGACTACTAAAGAGAGCTCATTATTGATTGAAATGAATCAATTGGTCTTGATCCCCTGTTTAGGACAATAGTCTCTGCTTGCCTCTACAACAGCGGGTAGGGCTACAGCCATCTGAAGTAAAGCACCAGTATCCTCTCAAATTATTACAGGCCAGTTTGTGCGGATTCTTTGTACCAGCTAAAAATCACTGTGTGGATTCACACCTGCTTGATGGGAACATACTATCCAACCCTCTACAGGGGGTTAAGACCTGAGAAAGAGGTATTTTGACTCTACTAGCACAGCATGTATAAAGAAAACACAAGGTGTTAGGAAGCTAAGATAGAAAGCTCTATGGCAGTGATTTTTACAACCACTTTTGTGGTTTCCATTTCTACCAAAACCTTGGTCCTGAGAACACACAGATGCTCGGCATGTATGTGTGAGGGCCACAGGGTTAGCACCTTTCACATTCTTAAAATAGTGTCTTTGCCTTGTAACAATTAGTCTTTAAGCATTCATTGTCAGTTCACAGCCAGAAGGTGTGATAAAAATCATGGCAGTGTCAACAAACATGCTTCTGTTACATCTCCTGCAATGTTAATCAAAGCCCTTTAAACCTGCATGAAAAACAAATGGGTCCATCTTTCTGAAGCTGTCCTGACACCGGGTTCAAATGGATAACCGATAGCCAGCAGAAACCTCTTTAACAGGAAATGGCCAGCTTGCAGATGCACATAAGTGCCGTTTTAACTCAACACAGATTGAGTGGCTACGTGAGCTCTGAGCTGTACTGTCAAGAGCTTGAGTGTAAGGAGAGGAAGCTTCTAGTGCAATAACCTGAAAGAGAGTGGAAAACACAGGGGAAGAAAAATAGGTCACAGTGTAGAGCTGTGTCAGACAACACAACAGCAGTATGCTTCTGAGCTGAATCAGTAAGGAGTCAATGGGAATTACCCACTGAATATCCTGCCTCTGAGCTTTGGAGGAGGGGGCTGACTATTCTCGCTCTTTCTCACTGAAACACTGCTTGAAAGATTCCATTTTCACATACAGGCTGAGCTGCGATGCTACTTTTTACCAAGTCAAATCAGACTGACATCTTTCAAAATAACACACTGAGGTTCCTGTAAAACTATCTAGGTTAACTCTGGCTATAACAGACCTTCAAAAGGGCACTGTGGCCACCAGTGGCTAACACAGGTCAGTGAAACTCAGTGGTGTGCCATGTTCTACCACTCCCAACCAAAAGTAACTTTCTCATTACTCGCTAAATAGCATCAATTTTCTCTTATGCAACAGCCTCAAGGAAGAAGAAATGAGAAAAGAAAGAAATTAAAAACCTCAGAGCTACAAACAAGGAACTGCTTGGACTGCCACTAATCCTCAAGCTTTCTGGCCATGCACAAAGTTTTGGCCTGAAGCAGCCAAGCAGGTCATTGCTTCCTCATGACTCACCCTGCAATGCCAGATACTGAGAAGAGAGAAGATAAAATGAAAAACCACAAAGGTAATATTTTTAGCATTGCTAAAATAATACATTAAATAATTTGTTGGCATTTTTATCTCTGGGTATTCCATTGAGTGTTGGGCTTTTTACTCTTGTTGCTCAATTTTAATAATTAAGATTTAATCTTTTTTAGCATTCTTTTTAAAGTCCTTAAAAGTACACCTCTAAAACACAGCCCTTAGACTTGCATAAGTTCAAGTTTGTCTTAGTAGAAATGATAGTGTAAACCCCAGAAGGAAAACAGCATATCTCACCCACTTGTGCACTTCAATAGCATTCCACTCCAGAAAAAAAGCGTTTAAAAAAATGTAAAATTTTCAAATACCTTTTCAAAGGCCATCTGAAGAAAAAACAGTATTCTTTAACTGCTTATAAAATTTCATTTTTTTTTGCCTCTATGTTACTTCGTTAAAAGTCAAAACACTGAGCACTGACACCCATTATTTCAAAAACAAAACATAAACAAATGAAATCCACCTCTATGCTACAATGTTCTCTTTATTCCTGAAAAGGTGATCAGCTCTATGAAACGAGCTTCGGTAACACTGGACGCAGTGGTATACTCCCACCGGAGTCCCCCATCATGTTGGTCCGCAGTTTGTTGTTGGTTTGGCCCATTACAGGGGGCACCTTAGAGATGATACTGGGAAAGGAGGTGCTATGTTCGGTAATCCGCTTGGGAACCGAGGTCTTCTCCCCCCCAGGCACAGGCTTAGGAAGTCTCTTGTAGAGCCAGGGGTGTCGCAATGCCAGGACAGGTGTCATGCGTGTACTAGGTTCCCAGTCCAGACACTTCTTCAGAAAGTCAATGAAAGTAGGGTCTTCACAGCCCTTGAGGGCCGTTACCCATTCCTTGCTGCCTGGAGGACCTCTCATCTTTCCCCGACGAGAGCGACTCCCATTCAGCACAATAGTGCCATTGCTGAGTGTAGTGACGGTGCAGTAACGTGGATGGCCTTTGGAGTTGATGAAGTTCTTGGCACGCTTGGCCTGTTCCAACAGTTTCTGAGGAGGCATACCCAGGAGTTCCATCATGCAGGCCAGCTGGTCTCCCTCATCCTCACCAGGGAAGAGCGGGTAGCCTGTCAGGAGCTCTGCTAGAATACAACCAAAGCTCCACATGTCTATGGGCATGCCGTAGCGTGAGCCCAGGATGACCTCTGGAGCCCGGTAGAATCGGGACTGGATGTAGGTGTAGACACGTTGGTGGTCAAAGCAGCTGGAGCCAAAGTCAATGACCTTGATGCCACTTCGACCCTGCTGCTTGAGCAGAATGTTTTCTGGTTTCAAGTCACAGTGGATAATCTTATGGCGATGCAGAGCCTCCAGGCACTGCAAAATGGAGTGGGCAAACTTGCGCACCAGAGGCAGGCTGAAACCCTGGAACTTATTGCGCTTGATGAGTTCATAGAGATTCATGCTGAGCAGCTCAAAGGTCATGCAGATGTGGTTGCGGAAGGTAAAGTTCTCCAGCATGTGAACAACGTTCATGCTTCCTGTCTTATCCTGCTTCTTCAGGTGCTCTAGTATTCGGATCTCCTCCGCAGCTTGCCGGTGAAAGCGTTTCTCATTGCGCACCATCTTCAGAGCCAGATGCTGGTGCAGCTTGTGGTCATAGACCTTCGCCACCTGACCAAAACTCCCTTTACCAATTACCTTGAGGAACTCATAACGATAGGCAATGTGGTCGTGAGGCACATGGATATAACCTCCTTGGTCATCATCATATCCACAGTTGTTGGAGCCCCCTGCCACTGCCGGTCTCTTTTTAGCATTTGGTCCCACAAAGTAGATCTCAGAGTAGTTGTGGATCTCCTGTTGCTCCAGCGCAGTCAGCTGTTGTCTATGCTGCTTCAGCACCTGCTCTGAAGTGAGAGGACCTCCTAGCTTGGTGGGCTTGACTGAGCTATCGGAGGACTTGGCTGAACTGTTGCTGTCCACACTTCTCTCTTTAGAGAGAGTAGGCTGAGGCTTGGCAAGAGCTTGGCTGGTACCATTGTGCTGGATCACACCATTAGGTTTGCGATTGTATGAGTCCTCGTACAAGTACTTCACCTTCATCTGTCCTCCTCTGACTCCCAGGTGATCTTTCATGGTAGGTTTGTTCACACCCTTCAGAAAGAAAAGACAAAAGTATTACAACACTGTCAGGCCAGATGAAGTACTCAAAGCCGGTGACAAAAAGACTGTAGGGAAAAGGCAAGCTCCTTAAAGTCTAATCAACAGAACGAGAACAGAACAGAATAGAACAGGCTTATTACAACTAACTACATGAACTTCTGATGCTGAACTTCAAATATGTAGTAACTGGGACAGAGTTAAGCAATCAATAGCACAAACGTGCAGCACTGAACAGCCAGACAGCACCAGTATTGGAAATATCTTAAGGCTTGAGGGGGAATTTTAATGCATGAGGGATCTTTGCAGCTGAACAGAGGAAAACCTGATAAACAGTCCCAACAATGAGAGGAGGTGACTGTGAAACCAGTGGAGCAGGATGTTCATCTTGATGGAGGACAAAAGGCAAACATAAGAGGACGCAGCTTTTACTAACAATTATAGTACATACTACCTTCCTACTGTTTAATCCAAAACAAAACATAGAATGTAAACTCATTATAAGTCCAAGATAAACTGTGGATCACTAATAACTGGCGAGAGATACAAAGCAACGCTAATTTTTGACGCATTAAGAAAGGCTATTCCTTCTCAGTTTTTTACTTTATGGAAAGAATTTTTGACAAGGCTCATGAGCCGCTGCAAGACGTAACCCAACTATATCATTAAATCTAGATTAAACTCGGGCCTACGGCGCACACATACACAGCAGCATATACTGAGAACGCAGCAGTCTTTGTTGAAATAGTGAGGGTAGTAGGCCTATTTTTTCCATATTCATGGTGTTAAATGCACCATGAAACATTCAAGTCCACTTTCTATTCAAGGTCTTTCTATGAACGTCCAAACTTAAAGCTCTACTGCATAGAGGGGAAAAAACACTAAAGAGCTTCAACACGAAAGCACAGATCAGAAAGTAAATTACGTCATTAGATACAATTAGATACAATTATGAGATTAGGTCAAAAAGTGATTTGTCAATTGTGACTGCTGAGAGGGTGCTGGAACTGCAGTCCGAAGAAGAGTGACTAAAACAGAACCAAACGCATGGAGAACTGATGGATTAATACCACAGAGACCAGCCAAATAAATCAGATGTCTATTCCCAGACACTAGTGATCAGACAACACAGCTGAGTTACTGCAAAATTGCCAGAATAAACTACTATACAGCAAAATTACTACATAGCAACGTTGATTAAGCCTAAGTGAAGAGCGTTGGGTGAGTGAATCACTGAGTGACACAGGACTGCGATCCCACGTGGCAAAAAAGTCTGTTGCTGCTCCAATTCACACACAGCTGAAATTGTTTATTGAGCATTTGAGGAAGACCGTTTAATGATCAGCACACTGCACAGAGCCTTGTCACAGTATCGGGCCAGCCCGATTGCAAAGCTCTATACAGTCGCCAAAACTACTGCAAAGGACTTCTATAGCCAACATGCACTCAGAACTCACATGTACTTAGAATTAGTTATTACATAAGTGTGTGGATCTGACTGGAGAGTCGGATTTAAATTACAATTCCAGGTCATATGATGACACATATCATGATGTAAGCTATGCAGATCTTATTAAAGGGGCTTAATCAACTCAGTCTAGCTGGCTTGCGCAAAGTGCATTCCATTGCTGCTCAAATGTTTACACAAAGCGAGTGCAACAAAAACATCATTGGCCCTAACTTCATTCAGACAGTCAGGAAGAGACTCATACCACTGTAAACACAAATACCACACTGCCCTTAGACAGTAAGATATAAGATTCCTCTATATATGTCACTGCAAAGGGTGTGAGTGCTAGGGACGTGTGTATGTCTGAAAAAACTGAACCACAACCATGACAGTCGGCTTACCATGCCAGCACACGACAGGGGGGGCAAGCTGACAAAAAAACAGGCTAGTTCATAATTTGTTAGTGGGTCAAATTTTCAAGTCCACTTATTCTCTACAATGTAGTAAATCAGAGCAGTTTCCTGCTCGAGCGGACAAAAGAGGAAACTGCTCAGCTGCGTCCCCGGTTGGAAGAGTGCCATGAGATGACGACCCAGAGGATGCAGGGTACTGGGTCTGCCCCATTACTAGAGGAGAGGAAGTCTGGACTTACTGTGTGTTTGGACAGTGGAGGTAGTCCAGAGGGGCTCTGACCATTCAGTTCACCATCTTCATTCACAATATGGTCCGTGCGCATGTAAGAGTCATACAGACCATCTCCATGTCGAGCTGCGAAACACACAAAACAAACACCACCACATCAGCTGAGCACACCACAATGCTGAAATGAACAGCACATGACGCATTAAGTTTGAACACAACACAATTACAACAACCTTGACTGCACTTGGGCTGCATGCGTTTAGCTGCTACGTTGCTCAACCCAACAATAATGTAACTGATGCAGGGAAGCATGCAGCCCAACAGAAAAAGAGGAAATCTCCTTTGGGAGCCATGTAACCAAGTCGCAGGTGCGTCAGAAGACAGGCTTCCCACACAACCTTGTCAACAGATGGTCTCTGGAGCACGCAATGAAGCAGTTGGAAACTTATTAGGACAGTTTTTATGACTCATTGGGAGTTCAGCAGTTTCCACAACTTGGTCCTATTATGTCACTAAAGCCTCTTAATAGCCTAAACCAGTGTGCTTAGGAAACACAGTGGACAAAGTGGACTGCATAAGCTGAAGAGTTGTGGACAGAATATTAAGATGAACTTCGATAAAATCTTGGATCGAATGTGGCTAAAGTCGATAAACTATGAAATAACTGTAGCTTACCCTGACGACCGAAAAGTCTCTGACACTGTGTGACGAAATAAAGGAAGGTAATCATTACTAAAGTACTACATCAAGTTTTGTGTTGGTATATATAATCTATTTGGTTTTTGATGCGCAAAAATGATCTGGACTAAAACAAAAGTGTAAACAAAGTCTTGGTGACATCATGTTCTTAGAACACAAGAAACATAATGTCACAATATGGCCACCATTATGTGATCTGATGGAACACATGAAGGGTCAGTGAAATTTAAACAATTACATGGTGCGCGCACGCACGCACGCACACACACACACACACACACACAATCACATCAAAACTTTTAACAAAAACAATAAGAAGTCAGTTCACTTCGGCAGCAAGTAGTCAGGGTTGGGATGTAATGGAATACAAGAATTTAGAATATGTACTCAGAATACAGAAATTAAGCATCTGTATTCAATCCAAGTTACATTTTGTAGACGCAGTATTCAGAATGCACTTAATTCTTGCGAGAATATGTTTAGAATACGTACCCACTAAATACAATCATATAATCTTCAAAAGTACCACCATCATTGCTTGTTTATTAACTTTATTTAGAACCAGTTCACTGCATGTAGCAAACATGCTCGTTAGTCCAATTCTAAAAAGCTCCTATGAAACCCTGAGTAGACTAGTAACTCAATGTGATGATCAGTTATTAATCTCAGTGTTACTGAGCTCTTTTGAGAGATGATCAAGCTAATAGTCTCCTCAGTACTGGGCATGTTTGTGAGTGATAAGCTTAGCACTGGAGTTGTACTGCTTGGAGGATTGTGGGAGCAGCAGCGAGAGAGAAACAAAAAAGCTGAGAATTATCGGAACTTCACTTAAATGATAAACAAATTTTTCATGAAATGTATTAACAAAAGAATTACATGAAAACTGCCAACCAGTAACAGTGAGGGACAGTGTGAATTTAGTAAAAAAAATCCAAAAATACCAAGATGTATTCTAAATCTGTAACTTATATTGTCACGGAATACATTTAGGACAGTGTATTCAGTATTCAGCCATGACTACTTTTTCAAAGTATTTTGCCCAACACTGCAAGCAATACAGGTCAACCAGTAACGGGTCAACTTATTTTTGTTCAGCCCAGTCTGCCCATATCCGTGGCTGCAAACTAATACAGCGATGGATTACATTTCGTATCGTAAAAGAGACGACATAAATGTCTAATTACCTGCTGTGATGGGACCGTCTGGTTTTCTGCTCAGTATCATCATGATTGTGGCCAGTTGATGAAGTCAACATCAAATGCTTCTTTGTTCCTTTCTTTCCAAACAATCCTTGGTTTAGAGATGCTAGAAAGCCTCCCACGGTCGTAACGTTCACTGGATCAGCAAGTCTCGCTACTACAACCTCATGTCATGTCTAGAATGGCACCTACTCTTCAGCGAATTAGCTCGAGTTGTTAGCTAGCTTATGTGTAAACTGGCAAAAGTGGTGGAGAGCTGGATCATGATCCTTCTGAACAGTTTTCCGCTTCGGTTCAGGACTGTTTACTAGCTAGGCTACATTCAGCTAAGCTAACTTGTATGTGATAACGCTACAGCTGTGTGTCTGGGCTACGGAGCTAACTATGGGAAACGCTTGCTTTGCATTAACCACGGTCCGGATATAATGATAAAATATATGTATATGAGTGCTAAAATCCTAAAACACGGTCGACATAAATAAAAACGACAATATTCCCTGCTAACATGCACTTCTTCTGAACGACGTCGCGCTCTAACAGGGACTCAACACTCCAGGGACAAAAGTGAAAAGTGCAGCAGAGCAAAAACATCCGTCCACATGAGCGCCGCTCCCACAGATATGCTAGTTTGAGTCCAAATACCTCCCCGGTGTCGACCACGGTCGCTCTCTGCGTCTTTCGGAGTGCGGATACTTTTATCTACCAAAAGAAGCATCCCAGGCAGGGGGGAAATGTTCAAACACGTAAACCACTCGAGAACTCCCGACTTTTCTGGTGACGCTAGCTAGCTCCGCGGCTAGCTAAAGCTAGCCCTCCTGAAATAACGCTACTCGGTTCTCTTCCGGAGAGACTGGCTAGTTAGGGGTCTTGTTGTCGAAGGAGGAGGGCGGTCTTCATATCACGACATCGTTAACGTGATCCCAAAAGGGCGAACTCCTAAAACTGACGTATCTTCAAAATTCGTTCCTTCGGAAAACGGAGTCTCCCCCAGTAAGGCTGCCTGTTCGCTTCAGTGTGAGCCTGAGTTCAAACACGGACGTGTTTTCTTAGCTTGTTGCTATGAGCGTCTTCTGTTTGGCCTCATCCACAGACAAAGTAAGGGGTGTTATCAGGGGCGTGGCCTAAACAGCGCCATGCTGAATCAGTTCGACTGCACCCCCGCAGACCACAGCTCTGTCTCAACGTCTATGGCTCTGCTGTAGACGTTGACAACAAGACTCGCCTACTTCAGGAACGTCAATACAACCGGGGCATGTCTTATCAACAAACTATTGGCTGAGTCTCAAATGACTCCCTGCTCCCTACATAGCGCACTATATGAGTTATGAAGTGTTGGCTTCTACGCCAAATTAGTGGGCTAACCTATATGTTCAATAAGGAATTGTGCACACGATACTGAATCCCAAATCTCTTTTTGCTAGACATATTATGCTCTGTTTAGGTCCTTTTATTTTAAGACCTAGTGCTCTACGTAGGGAGTTGGGAGACATTTGGGATTCAGCTATGGTTTTCAATTTCTTTTTGTGGAAATAAACGAACGTTATGATTTATGTATAAATTCTAAACTTGAAACTAATAACTCTTGCAGAGTTTGCATTTGTTGCACAGAAGATGGTTTAATAAATGGTTAATAGCTGTTTTTTGTGTGTTTACTTCAATATTTTACTGTGCCAGCTTTAAACCGTTCAAGTTTAGCTGAATTAAACCGTTCAAGTTTAGCTGAATAGTTCCGGTCCTAAAATCTGATTGGCTGAGTCGCGTTCGAAGCCGTTGTAAAATACACATATATGGACTCCTATGACCGCTTCACAACAACTGAGCTCTGTATTACTGCGCCAAGAAAAACCCTTGTGCTGTTAATGGAATAATCTTTGAATCTGATGCTGCTCACTTGAGCCACTGAGTGTACTGATGAATTAAGAACCCGTTTTTCTGTTTAAACTGAGTGGTTTACAGCTTATTTTCCTAACTAAAACTAGGCTGGTCAGCTAGCTAACAGGCAAAAAGATAGCTAACAGCCTAAACAACTCCATCATTAATATCACAGGTTTGAATTAAAGCACTTACGGCATAATTTACTGTAAAACTGCAATATAAAAGTCTAAAGAATGTCACTTGAATGGTTTACACGCTTCAAATGTCCGTGTTTCAGAAAGAAGTCGCATCAAACCCAGGCTGAATCCCAAACACCTTAGCTACATACTCTCTAAATAGTGTGCTAGCTATGGAGGTTTTGAAATTCTAGCTTCTACAGCCAAATAGTGCGCTACGTGTCAAGTATGGATGTGGCTGAATCCCAAATGACTGTTTTGTAATGACTTATTTTTTAGCTATATCATGTGCTGTTGGGTTGCAGGAGCTCGTTTTTAAACGTCTACATAACTCACTATGTAGGGAGCGGGGAGCCATTTGAGATTCAGCCCCAGCACAAGAAGAGGGTCGCAGCTGGATTGGTGCTAAATCAAAGGTTTTTGCATTATGATATGATATGTTCATTAATATATGGCAAAAAGTTATGAAATAACCGCAGTGTACTCTGATGGGTGACCGAACGTTCTTCTCCTCCTCTTTCAGTGGTCCATGGTTGCTTGGCAAGGATACCATACTCTAAAGGAGCTACATTTCTTGGCGGAATACTTGTTTATGTTGATTAATATAAACAATACATTTTTTCAGAAAAAAATATATTTTATCATATCTTATGCCACCATTTTGTAAAAGCAATAGACTTTAGGCCGTGCGTTACCCCAGTTTTATCATGGGAAAGGGAGTTTTAGGCACTCCGTTTTGCGTCATGCCTAAGAACACCCTTCCCCGTAATAAAATCATGGAGACACACGGCCTCTCATGGCTAATTGCTTCATCTTAAGATGATGTCTAATGATAAATGACATTATAAAATATAGTTTAAGATGGTTTAGGTAATTAGCTTTCCCTGACTTATTCTGCATTCAACTGTTCATAACTCTGAATTTCTGACCTCTGACTAGGAAAAATCAGAGAAAACACCCCATCAGCTAGGGATTACCTGGAAAGTCAGGATGGTGTTCTCAACTCCAAACTTAAGGCATGATGTCAAGTCAGCATATCTGCTCACATCGTCAAAGAACCACTTCTCTACTTTGAAATGAGATTAAAGTAGTATTTGCTTTAGGTTAGTCAACGTGCAGACATAGTAGCTGGTTAAACTATAACATAAGTTCACTGTTTTGAGATGGTAAATACATCATGGACATGATACTTATCACTCAGGGGCTGTGTTACAGAAAATTCCCTCTGAAATCTTATCTGTTTAATCACCATGACGTCACTTAGGACTGAATGCAGGACGGTAGCTATTACAGTAATAACAGTTCGAAAGTTCATTATCTTATCCTAACTCCAGATAAGAAAACAGTATTACACAAACATCCAAACTGGACAAAATTTCCTTATTACGGTCCTAACTTTAGGACAACTCCAGTGGTGTCCTAATATCTGTTTTAATTGTCTTTAAAAATAATTTTTAGGCAACTGTTAGGCAGCATAGTTCACTACTAGCATAATGATGTTACATTTTTACATTTTTATTTCAATTGTGAAATATTTTTCTTTTCTAACTCGCGTTTTAAAAATGCCAGACACTGCAGACACGATTTCCACCACCCCCTGTTTTATTACCTTTGTGTATTAATGCTGATAACGTCATCAAATAAAATATTACAGTGATGGTGGTGAATAATGAGGAGGACTGGCTGAACTTGTGGCTGTTTATTAAGAGGAAAACAGCGCAGCTCACATGCTGACTAAAGCGTTTGGGAAACTGAAACTGGGGAGCGGCAATGCTCTGATAAACAGCACAGATTGCTGTCATTATATTCTTAACCACCAGTTTATTGCTCTTTAGTTTTGTTCGAACCTTTTCCTTACAGCAGTGCAGGTAGCTGTAACTTACATTTTTATTGTTATTTTGATTACATGTTTACATTTCAGCTGATTGTCGCTTGCTTGGTAAGACATGACAGTTAATTGTCGACTTTGATTGAGTAGTTTAAGATTTCCTAACTTGAGATAAGATGCTGTAACATAAGACAAAGTTCCTAAATTAAAATGAGGTTTGCTTCTGTAATACAAATTTGTGAAAAATCTTATCTTGACCTTGTCAGATCTTTACTTAGGACAAAAGTAAGTTTCTGTAATATGGCCCCACATCACTAATGTCAGCTGGCTAACTTGTTGCTGACAATGCTTACTGTCATAGACATGGCCGTTTTTTTCTCACTTTGTAGCTCAAACACACATGGGTCAAAAACGACCTAATTCTGAGCTTCAGCTTCCCTTCTCTGAGCCAAGTTGAGCATAGCATTAGCTGTTGTTGGATGAATCTTTTAAACAGGACTGCACAGTGCTGACATCTGTGATTAACACTGTTCTTAGGGCCAGCATTAGCATTAGCATTAACTCATTTGAAGAGGTAGCTTCCATGACTAAAACCTCATCATTTTTAAACATGACACCCTGCCACTTCAGTGTGAAGTGACTAAATAATTTCCTCCGTTATTTATGTAAATATGGATTCCAGAGTCCTTTTAGGCTTTAAATAGGCCTAGATTGATATTTTTAGGGTGTTACGATTAAAAAATCCCTTCTTCCTGCACAACATACTTCCAAGTGTTGAGTAGTAGTTGGTGAGGGCATGTTAAAAAAAGTGTTTTGAAGTAACGTTTCACAAGTGGGCGTGTCTCTATAAAGACAGTTTATTGTAGTGGGCAGGTCTTGAAGGCCTTCCTGATTGGTCACAGATGTAACAAACCAGCTAAAGAGCCAACAGTAACACAGTTTGATTCAAGAAATTCTGATTCCAAGTGACAGTTGGTTCCAAAAGTTGATTCCACACAGTTATCTTGATTTTATCTGGCAAAAAAGAGCAAAATATTTACTACATTTGACCTTAGCAAGGAAATGTGGAGAGCTAATGCTAGCTAGCTATTTAATCTAATTAAAGTGAGCTGACTAAAAGGGGCTGGGGCCAAGTTGTTTCTACCAGTGAACTTCAGGTGGGTAGATGTTTTGACACTGACATGTTGTTTGATTGTAAACTCATTTTTCTAATGTTTTCCTCTTTATCTAAAGTAAAAATCCAGCTTGGACGACTGATGCGTGCATTGTGGAAGGCTATATTTTTCAGACAGCCTGTTTATACAGAGACAGCAGAATATCTCACACTTTTTTTACATGCGGGTGCAGGCGAACTTCAGTGTCACTGTGTGGAACTCAGTTGAAAGCTTTGAAGTCGACTGGCAATTCCCGAATGATAGCATTAGCCAACATGGCTCCTTTAGCCAAGCAAAGAAAAGTTTATCATCATGTCATATCAACGTGAATTTTTTTTCTTTTCATCTCCTTTTTAGGCTGGCCTACCACAAAAAGTAGCCACACATCTACCATCATAAAATGTTCTGGCTTCTGCAGAACACAACATTCTTAATAGCACATATTAGCATTAGAAACAGAGTTCAACTGTGGTTTTGACCAAAATCTCATCTCCTTGCACAAATACGGCTTACAGTCTACACAAGAGAACATAGAAAGCCATAGGCTTGATACAGGACACAGTGACCCATGTCACAGGGCCACAGACTAATACTGTGCAGCATAGCATAAAAGTGTTTTACTGACTCCAGTGTTGTTAAACTATTTACAGGATGGATGTAGATCAACCTTTTGGCTCTGAGGGGCAGGTTGTGCTAAATCGGACAGGCTTGTGGCAGCATGGCTGTAGTAGATGCTATTCTCAGCTGTCTAGCTAAGGAAGAAGGGCCCTGTCTATATTTACAGCTGTAAATAACATATTGACACCAATTTCAGGTTGACCCCTTGGCAGCTGATTCCCTGAAAGCTCAGGAGCTTGGACAAACACAGAGCTCAGGAGAGGTAAATGCTGTATTTGGTCTTGCACGTTATGATGGACACTCACAACTGGTGGCTTTTGTGGCAGCTTGAAAAGCCTCCGAGTGTCCTTGACAACCTGTGTGCTTCTTCCATGTATGGGAATACTATGCACCATGTAAATCTTTTGATTAAAGTTGTACTTAAAGAGTGAAATTCACTTGAAATGTCTAAATCACTGTGATTGTTGTGTTTTATCTGGCATGGACTCCTGCAACTTGCAGAATGATTACAATTGATGATGCCCCAATTGACCTTCAAGGTGTTTTTTAAGGACTGTGCTGGCATGGACATAAAAAGGCTATGAAGGTAAGAAAGAGTACATCTAAAAGTCATAGTTAACTATAGGTTCAGATAGTTCTCATATCAGAGTGGTTGTCCTCATTAATCTGGTTCTTGAAATATATGAATATATGAAAAGTAACTAATATAATTTGCAGGGTGCTTTATGTTGTAAGGCCTTCAGCAACTGCCTTAAATCTGTTAATGGGGTAATGGCTCCCTCTGCTGGTCATATTTAGTACTGCTGCTGTACCGTTTTTGTAGGACATGTTGACATTCAACAGAGGAGAAACAGCATGCTTACATGAAAGCAATACTGTTACTGGATTTGATTCAATACTTATGATATGGAAACAGTTCTGATAACTTGTAAATAACTTGCACAATAGTAGTTTCATTGTATTTATATTTAAAGGGGGATGCCATTAACTTTTCAAAATGTCTGCATAATTCAGTCACTGAGATGTAAGCAACGTCAGAATGGATTGATGTGAAATGGTGAAGAAACTTATTGAAACCTAAGAAACTTACTGACTCAGATTTCTTTACAGCAGCATTAATTGGAACCAGGGAATACACTCAGAAATAGTCATTTGCTATCCAAAATGATCGACACCTGTGTTCTGAGTTTTATCAGAAATAGTAATATATGTTTTATGTGCATTATTTTGCCTTACAATGCCCTACATGTACCTCTCTGCCATGAATGGATTAAAAAAAAAAACGCCTAAATGATAACTTTACAGAAAAAGGAAAAAACCTGCTTTACTTTTAATGCAAGTCAATGGAACTAGACTTTTTACCAAGTCATTTTGGGCTGTTTCATTATGTCCATTGTTCATGAAATTTACACACAAGGTAAAGAGCAACAGGCATTTATGTCAAACTATAAAACGAGGATTTCTTCCAACAGCATATATATATATATATATATATATATATATATATATATATATATATATATATATATATATATATATATATATATATATATATATACATATATATATATATATATATATAAATAAATAAAACACACATATACACACATATATATAATCATAAAACACTGCAGGCATCAGGCAATGTATTTGTAACCATTTCATGTAATAAGTAATAGGTTGAGGTTGCTTTTAGAGGCATTAAATGCTTCAGACATCTGGTTCCCATCACCATTGTTGTGAACAATTGTGACTTGGTAAGTTTTTAAGAATGGTGCATTTCAAATTAAACCACTCTAAGTCATTTTAAGTATTGTATTACACAGAAATGTAAAAAAAATCAGCAGAATTTCCCTTCATAGAGATGTTTTCTACTTATTTAGTATTGTGTTGATATATTGATTAGAAGATTTTGGTGTCTTCAGTAAAAGAGAGCAAACCCAGTGTGACTTCTCTGTTTGCTAAACATGGATGGTTAAACATCAAAAAGACTGGGGCAGATGAAAGGATTACCGTTTTTATTTACCATTCTTCAGTATCTTTACAGCTTTAGAGATGCTATACATATTTAAACTCTCAAAACAAAAGATTGCCAGACAGCATTGATTTGTCCACAACCCCAAATGTACACACACAGAGAAAACTTAAAATAAGTTAAACACAACATACACACAGTCACTCTCTCTCTTATACGTTTATCCTCAGAGTCCCACAGGGACCTGAGAGTTCTGCCACGTTTAAAAGCACCAGGTTCCTGCCTTCATGCTTCTAGTAATCTAGTCTCTTGATATGTGGTGCTACTGGGGTAGACATACACAGCATATGCATACACATTCAGGTCAGGCTACACGCAGACAGAAGGCACTGCCAGCAGGAACATGGCCGTAAAAGAGCAGCGGCCCGAGCACACGCAACAAGATCTCTCTTTCGTTCTTCTCATGGCTGGGCGTTACACCTCTCGTCCACAAGGAGGCACATCCACACTGATAGGGTAGCAAAGGGCCAAAGAGTGGTGTGGATAATGGAGTGGTCAGGGCAAAAAGGGACCCTGAAAAATGACTCTCCTGGCCATCATTTCTTGTCAAGCTTATGCAGTAAAAGCCAGTGTTAAATTAACTCTTACAGTGTTGATTTGAGGCCGGGTAAAGGAATACTGTAGTAATTTTTTCAACCTTATCTCTACCTGCCACATCTGCATCATATGTTTCAGTTTCAGTTGTACTTAGAAAAGAACAGAAAAGCAGTTAACTCAAAGCAGACTCATAACAGAAGTCCATGGGCAGCCACTTCAGCTGCTTTTATGCTTTTAGTTTCATGTTCTTTTAATTAGTAAAGGAATCACGTTGAGATTATCGTCTGTGGTAATCGAGCGTATGCTACAAAAGCAGCAGACAGAGAATAGGTTGAAAAACACTGGAGTATTCCTTTAATTCAACCCAGGCGATTGTACTGTATAACAAAAACCTCAGCCTTGCCCAAAGCCTCTTCTCGACATTTGACGTGATGATATTCCCACTAGACCCTCAGCCTGTTTGGATTGTCCCTGGCTTCCGATGAGCCTCATGTGCTTCTGCAGTGGGTTAAAGAAGGATAAATCACAGGCTGTGGGTGTCATGGGTGTCATTATCAGGTTGTACAGTTCATACTGTTAGCCCATCTCCTTTCTGTGCTTTCCGTATGACTATAGACGTGGCGATGAAACTACAGTGTTGCAGACAGAATGAAATCACACATCCTCTGCTGCACATACTCAGTGCTTAAGTAGCATACACACATTAAAGCAACATGAATACATTTTTTTCCCAAACAGAAAAAGGGGAAAGCACAAAGCATCTCATGCCCTCATCACAGAATAGTCAGGATTACTATATACTGGCTGACCACTTGGTGGCCTATGTTGGTGTGCAAAATCATAGAAGTCTATAATCTACAATACACACGATTTATATCATCAGACATATCCCCTATTTACTCAATAAAGTAACATTAAAAAAATACTAGGGGTATATGTCCTGATTAACTTTGGTGTAATATCCACTATGGTGTTTCTCAGCTTATGAAAGACAGTCCACAGCCTCTGTCTGCCCAAGCAAGCTTGTATTTCACAATTCTCCCACAGCTGGAGCTCTGATCTAGGATCAGATGACGTGCAGAACACTAATGTTCTGTATTTCTATATAATTGAGTTACTGTGTGTCCTACCTTGAGGTCATCTGCGAATTAGACTGCTCAGCCCTCAGACCTGTCGCTATCATTTTCTCTGTTAGTAAATTACTTTTTATTATTAGCACTATGATTTCATTATACAACAGACGAGTGGCAGGTCAGTGTAGAGGCTGGGTGCTTCCATACGCTTTCATACCACACCAGAACAGACAAAACATTCCCTTTCTTTGACTAATCTCTGACACTAAATGCTCTTTTGTAACAGTCTACACGAATGCTAATAGCCATTTCACATTTCTGTAGGGTTCAAAAAAACGTCTGCGTCAGGACATGCTTATAATACATTAGGCTGGAAAAAGCATCCCAGATCTTTTCAAATGTACGCATGCATGTATATGGATGATATACAGTGGTGGGTGCTGACACTCATCTATCAAACCTCTAATGAGAGTTTAACACGTAGCCTACAGTTGCTTACTAAAAGCCACATCATAATTTTGCTAAGGAAGAGTATCTATTGATTTTGGATGGTGTATGATCGTAACAGAGGAAGCTGTTGCCAAATGGCATATTGATTTTGCGTAGGAGGGTGAGAAGTCAGCTGAGATACAGTACATTATTCTCAATGTTATTAGTAAAGAGGTTCCCAGGAATATAGATTATGCAGTCAAATGCAAGTGAGTGAATGAAGAGAGAGTACTGATTTTTTTTTTTTTGTTTTTGTTTTTTACAATTAGTTTAACCAGCATGTGATCTACGGGTTCGACCTGGATTTACCTCAAGCTTTTATGTCAGATTTTCGTAATTAACTTAGGCTCTTCACAGCCTAAAAGGGATGAGCACCCACCTCTTTTCTACCTCTCCTGGATAAAGATAGCGTGAGACGCTATAGCGCAGAGACCAAAAGCGAAAGTCATGCCTTAAGTAACACTTGCAGTAGCAGCAATAGCAGCAGCATTGTAAAAGAAACGTGAACAGACCCGAGCTGACTCAAAAACAAAGGAAAAAAAAATCCCGTTCAAACATCTAAACCAAGTCAGTCAGAAACACACTCCGTTCACCAGTGAGCCTTTTGTTTTGATTTGTTTCCCCTCACTCTGTTTGTCCTGTCCCCCACTTCACCCACCACCTGAGTCCTCTCTGTAAGGTTCAGAGTTCGTGATGGGGGTGTGCAGAGGCGTGCTGAGGGCCTTTGGAGAGTCCTGAGTGGAGAGGTTTGAGAGTTTGTTGATGGGTTTCAAGAGTCTGTGGGTAGGGCTCAAGGTCGGCCGTGCACCGGGCTCAGTGAACTGAGGGGCGCGGAAGGACCGCAGCTCTAGCCGGGGTTGTTCTGGACCTCCTGTAGAGCCTCTACGAGCTTCTTTTTGTAGGCTTCGTAGCGCATCTTTACCTGCTTCATCCGCTCACTCTCCTCTTTGTTCAGGATGGTAAGGAAGTTCTGCAGCTCGGGAACTGAGAACGCATGCCACTAAATGACAAAGAGAGAGATTCATTAAAGCAGCCGAATAACCAGTTTTTCAGACAAGGGATATCTGACTTTAGCAAAAAGCAAACTGAAGGAAGCTAATTAAACTCTTGGGGATGCATGTACAAAATATCTTATTGTGATTGAGATATGCCTTCTAATCAGTGGTGGTTGCATTTCAGCTGGGGGGGGGCACTGCTTATATCACCTGACTGACTATGTTATGTACATACTTCGAGCACTTCAAATGACTATAATTACATTAAACAACCATGCTGAACTATTAATCTCCATCACCAGAAATATTCACAATTTAATGCACCATCATAATAGTGTTGTAACTGCCTTCTTTATTAACTTCATATTAGTTTTTCTGTAAAACTGTTCATCAGCCTCAGCAATACAAATGACAGGTAATGACAGAAAACAATGGCCATATTGGCAATGGCTGTGTTGCTTCCAGTCATACAAGACCAGGCTCCCATCTCTTTGAATAGGGAGAGAAATCCAAAACTCGCAGCTCATTAATGTTAAACACATTTAAAATTAGTGGTAAAATCAGACCAAACAGCAAATATTGTTTGTCGTTTTGGGTTCAAATAGGACATTTTTTCATCTCCTGGTATTACACATTCACATGTCAGCTTGCTGATAAAAGAGAATTTTTTTTTTTGAAAGGCTAAACTTTCCATAATAGAGCTGCCATCTTGAGTGGTATATCATTCATTATTCAAGCAGTGAGCTGTCTTCTCTTATTATTGTATCTCTGCTTCAGCCATGCCACAGTATAGCGATGGAACATATTTACTAGAAAGATGAATTCAGTAAAGTTTCTGTTTAGCCAAAACAACCCACAGCTACATCCATTTTATCCTAACCAAGTGATCCTTCACACAAACACAACAATATTTTATTCATTTGAAACTTATAAAATACTTTTACACACATTTACTAGAGTTTAGCACTCTTATTAGGTCAAATTGGATTTTTGCATGTTCTGTAACGCTTGTCCAGCCACACAACAGCTACAAAAGGATGCATTTGGGGGCAGAGCATAGTTAGGTTAATTAGTCACTAAAGTAGTATACATAAAATAATTTTTGTTAGTGTGCTTATTTGCATATTGCGGTCTGTGATATCACTGGCGTAGAAGCCAGGATGGGCATTAGTGAACAAACAATATATTTAGCGACTCTAACGTACTGTTTTCATGGTTTTTGTATGATTTTATTGTGCAGGCACTGCTAAATAACTCACCTCCACTTCCCCAGTCTCATTTTCCTTTAGTACAAATGAAAGGTTCTCCAGATCAGGGCCAGCCAGCAGGCGCAGATACAGGGGGTGCTCAGAACCTTCCAGCTTCTGGAAGAGATCTTACATAAGCAGGAAACATGTACATTAGCGTTATATTGTATTTCAATCAGCAAACTGAAACAGACAGGCAATATATTAATCACAGAGCGTTTTCAGTTTCATTCTCTGTCACGCTAACAGTGCAATCACATCCACACCCACTTAGTCAGTCTCTCACCCAGACCCTGTCTACACACACTCACACTAGTGCGGCTACTTACCCTGGCCATCCCTGTGTGTCTGCTTGTACAGAGCGAACTTGCGTGGGTTGTCCTGCACCATAAACTTCTTGAGCAGACCCTGGATGACCTCGCTGACTGTGTTGATGCTGCTTACATGAATCTGCTTTACCGTGTCACAGGGCATGTAGAAGGATGTGCGTTTTTCTGGACCGTCTGCAGCCAGACTGCAGCCTGGGCCCTTCCCATCTGGGGACAACACAGTGACCGGCCGCCGCAGCTTCAAGTGAACCTTAATGAAGCCTGTGTAAGTGCCATCATCAGCCTGAGGAAGAACAGTGGGAAAGTGCATCAGTGAGCAATATTGATGTAAATATCTGACCTCACAACAATTTATTAAATGACATCTCTTTAGGATATTTTTCAGTGTATCACGAAATCTCAAATTTCATTACAATTTCTTTCAGATCCATTATTTTGGCATGATTTGGTAATAATTTTTAAAAGTACACGCAATGCACAAATGTGACTGGAGGAAGTATTTACGCTGTAATGGAGTATGGATGACAAATACAAAGCACCAAGTTGTTTTTGGATTTTTGTGTTTGAAAAAAGCTATGAATTATGTAAAAACATAAATGAATGAAATAAATGTTCTTGCTATATTGCAAGGCTTCAAAATAGATTTTGGAAGAGACAAACATCATTATAGTGGACAAAACTAAAACAAAAGTTCATAATTATTTTTGAGTTAAGTTAAAAATTGTGCAACAATGTCCAGGGTCACTCAGTAGAACAGAATAGAATTAGATTTGCTTCAGTTCTGATATTATATAAAGGTTTAGATTTGGATTCTGAAATGTTGGCAGGTAGAAAATTGTGTACTCACTAATTTCATTCCATTTTCAGAAACTTTGGAGTTGTACTCCTCTATCTTTGCCTTGATCTCTCCCTCTGAGAGAGACTTTGCGTTCTCCTCCTCATCCTCTTTAGCAGCATTCTGAAAGAGAGAATAAACAAACAAAAGCCTTTACATCAGTTACGAGGCTCATAAACCTTTCCTCTAAATTATCCGAATGCCTCTTAATCCTCCGTGAAAATTTTATCCATGTTTCTTTTCCCTGTCCAGTGCCGGCCCAGACAAGGATGGGTTCACATTTGCTCCTCTTGAGGCAGGGGTGTCTGATATCAGCCCTGGAGGGCCAAAGTTTGGTGATTTTCATGCTCAAGCACATATACTAAACCTGGTAACTAACCGCTGAGTTGAATAAGGTGTGGTGTTGAGCAGGGAAACCACCAAACTGTGCTGGCCTAAGGCACTCCAGCACTGAAAGTGGACACCCTAGCTTAAGGTTTTTTATACATTTTTCCTAACCACCTGGCTAAGTTGATAGGTGTCTAGGATCTATGCAAAATTGCGTTATGAAAAAAAAAAAATACACTGTGCAAACAGAACCAACTCAAAGATGCTGAGGTTAAGTCAGTAACAGGCAGAGCAACTTCTTTGTTTGCGTCAGTGGAGACCAGGTGAGGTTGCACACAGATGTGGTCCAACACCAAGAGCATGCAAATAAAGAAAGGCTCCTTAAGCAGCACAACAGACTGTTTAATGAGTTGCCGACCACAATCTTTATGCTTGTTTACCTCAACAGAGGTAAGAGTATGGACAGAGGTGAACCCTCAGGGCCTTCTAGGCCATCAGAGAAGGCCTAATGATTTCTAGGAACTCAAAAATATACATGTTGGTAATTTATAGTTAATTTTTGTGTCCAATGTATTCTTTTACATTTTTGTAAACACTTCTGGTGGAAAAAAAAATTTTCTTCTCAAAGTCAGTCGAGTTTTCTCATTGGTTAAGCCTTCAGGAGCTGAACTTCCCCACCAGATTAATTACCAATATAATTAGGAAGTGATAGAGGAATCAAATCCAATTGCATTCTTATTTACAATAGTTGGGACTAGTTTTGTGAGAAAAAACATCACTTCATGCTTTCTGGCTGTCACTGAGTGTGAAGTATGAGCGGTAGTCTAACTAGGTTTCAATCAGTTGTGAGAAATGGAAAGCAGCAGCAGCAGCTTTTACTGAAAGACTCGCTGTAAAAATGCAACATATATATTATATTGCACATGATGTCTGTTGCAAGCTTCAACTACACATATGGAATGCCCATATTTGTCCATATTTTTGGCCTGAACTGAAGGCCTAGCTCTCATGGTTTGCCACTGACTATAGACAGCATTAAAGATCAAACAACACAACTTTGCTCAGAGCCTCTGTAACGCAGAGAAACTTGATACTCCTGTCTGAGTGAGTGAGTCTAGTTTCACCTGGAGGGCCCAGAGTCACCTCATTTCTGAGAAGGCTTATCAACTCAAGAGATATTCATCTTATCTGACTATACATTAGCCTAGATAATTATTTAAACATGCTACATATTTGATTACGAAGTTACATAATGAATTACATTTATATTTAATCTGGGCTTCCATTTTTTTCTTGATGTCAACAATGACAAAAATTTTGGCAAATATGTAAGAGATCCACCACCACCATGCAACAATCCACAACCTTAACTATTCCTTAAATTGATATGATTACAAATTATCTCCTATGTTACTTACACAAAAGTGGCATCAGTTAAAAGTATAGGATCCACACTTTTTGGTTTGATGAGCTACACATGAGAAATAGTCAATACAAAATCATAACATTCTTTAGTTATCGCCAGTGAAGGGTTAAACTCCTGACTGTTTGAAAAGTACTGTGTTTTCTTATGTATTTAAAACCCAGAGCAGAAGATCTATGAGTCATTTGATATTATTAATGACCTAACTGTATCTGATCAGACTTTAAACGTATGTCCAAGATGATTTTATATGTTTGATTTTAAACATATGATCCAATATATGATCAAGACATCCTTTAAGGTTCCACAGAGAACAGAAGAATGCTTCTCCAGCTGCTGCAGGCAACAAGACTGATGGAGATTTGTGACAACAGAGGGTGCCAAGATGGCCACAGTTATTTGTACTGTAATAAGAGTCTGGATCATTACATGCACTATGCACTTTCACGATCGAACGCTAGAGATGGCTTTCCCTGCTGGGCCGATTTAACATCACTGCATGGTGTGAGGGCAATGCTTGATTCATGGATGAAAACCTGAAACAGTTTTTACAAAACATCTGTCATTATCTGCTGATGGTTACACCTTGTCCAATCCAATCTATCGATAAAAGTATATTTTTTACCATGTATTTTGATGTTCTCATAAAACACGTCTCTCTTAAATGGTAACTTTATAAAAGAAGTAGAAAACCTTCTTAAGTTTACTGTATGTTAATATAATGAGATCAATTCATTGGTTCATTCATCATACAAATTCACACAATGTAAAAGGCAGCTGATGTTTTCAGTTTAAATAAGAAGAACTGAATGGAAATGAATGAAATACATAGATGAACACAGAAGTACATAACATTATCCATTTGTATTACAATCTAACTGTAACAAGGGCGTGTTTCTCTCCGTGTTCACGCTGCATAAGCTTTATTAGAGCAGTAGTGGGGGTTTTATTAGTCTTAGCAACTATTAAAAGCAGATCAGTGGAACATGAAAGCAGCCTAGGCTGCTGTGTCACAGATGGATCAAGCAGGGCCACATAAGCTGCTTTTATTGATCTAAACCACGACGTGTGTGTGCACACGAACATATGCAAATGACAGTGCTAACCGCAGCTTTCCCTTGAGATTGTCACAGACGTCTCTATTCACGCTGAGCCGCAAGTGTGTATGCTCAGACAAAAAAGCGGCCACAACTGATGAACAATGTACCCACAATCCTTTGCTCCTGCCTAAAACAATGAGCATGTGGAAGTGACACTCTTCATTCAAAATTCATGTGTGGTTAACAAATGGACATCTTGTCAGGATCCCTTATGTGTACTTAAGGTAGAGACGGAAGTAATGACCATGTAATGGACTGACAATAGTTAAGCTAAAAATCAACCAGCATGACAGAAAAATGGACAAAACTACGGACAAAATTCATGCTTCAGTATGGCTGCTACTGCTGTTTTTAGCTATATTATGTACTTTTGTCCAGTTTTATTGATGTGCACAGTGCTAAACATGTAGCTTCTCTTACTTGTTAGCAACAATAGCTTATTAGCTTCAGAGCAAATCTATAAAAGCAGACAAAACTACATGCTACAATATGGCTGCTACTGCTGTTTTTAACTATTTTAGCTAGACATACTTTCATATCTGTCTACTTAATTTTAAAAGAAATATAAACTTGTAGAATTTGATGAAAATTATCACTGAAAAGTAATCCAAATACATAGACTAGTCCAGTTTGGGCTGTTACTCTGATGATGCTGTGTGAAACAAACTATTTTGAGAATAAAAATAGATGTAAAACATTTTAGATTTACATTCAAGCTGAAAAAGCAACAAAAACATGAGTCTCAGGGGTAAACCTTAATACTTGACAGCTATGCACTTTTACCCATTTCTAAAGATTTGCACTGGAGCTATGATGCTAACATAGCAATGAAGTAATCGAAGCTTATAGCCACCTGTGAAGGACTGTGCAAATCCCCCGTATCATACCAGAGACATTGCAAATGGCTTGTTGGTAAAAGTGTACGAGGGAAAAGTCCCCCTTTGTTGTAAAGACTGCATAGCAGCCAGAACAACCTGAAAAAAGCCAAACACTACAGATTATTTGGCACTTTCCATGAACAGAGTTCTGTTTATGTCCCATTACCTTTTTAAAAGCAATAAAGTTACTGTTGTTTTTTATTTCTGTGAAAAGTAAAGGAATCTGTTCTTAAAATAAAATCATTAACATTAGCATTTAAATGATCATAAAACACAAACATTTATTATGGTAATTTTGAGCTATCCCACCTCACTGACATTGAACTTCTCTCTAAAATATATTGACTACAATCTTCCAATAACACCATAATTACAATGTTATTTGGTTCATTTACAAGCAATTTAATCTTAAAAGAATTATTTTAAGTCATTTTAACCTGTGTCCCATATTTTACGTCAAAACCTGTTCTCCCTCGTAAAAAAACTGAACATTCCAGTTATTATGATATATACAGTAATTTTCATTGTCTTCTTGTTTTCTGCAGAATGACTGAGATAAGTATGTATTCTCATTTTATTTTCTCAGTTTACATACAAAAAAACTGATTTGGCTGCAAGGGAAAGCTTGTTACCAAAATTATTGTTATTTCTTGGAGTAAACTACTATGAACTAACTATGAATGCTAGCTTATTTTAAGCTGATTTTGCAAAACTGTTACCCTTTTTTAAACTTTCAATTACTTTTAAATGAAAATATAATGCAAATGGCATGAAACAAATATTTTAATGAAAACATTTTGACCAAAACATTTTTGCAACTTTCCCTTCTGCTCTGTGTTGTACATTTTATGTTTCTTTTTTGCATTAATTTCAGCTTAATGGGGAATATGATCTTTGTCCTCAACGCTGTTACTCACTTCAGCCCTGTTATTCAGTCATTTTAGTCTCAAAACAAAAGAATTCACTTTGATTAATACTTTATCAAAATCACCAAAGAAAAACATAAACAGAAAAAGAGTTCCGAGGCCTAAAATGAACTCTATTCATGGAAAGTGCCATTTATGTTATTTTTGTAAGATTTTATCAGTGATTGCAAATATGTTTTTGAAATGTTAAATGTGTCTATCAGTTTCAGAATTATAGGTCACTCTTCGCTCAAAGAATAATAAGCATAAGCAAGCCTGTATGAGATTACTGATTAAGGTAAGGCCTTTGTTTCCTTGTCTAAAATTACAGAAATCATCAGAGAAGAGCTTTCAGCAGGAGATCTTTCTCCTTCATTTCATTCAGTCTTTTTTCTCTCTCAAGTCTGTTCAATCTCTGTTTCTGTTCTTGGATTTTTCTACCTTTTTCTACCCCCCCCCACTTCCAAAAAGAACATTACATAACACTGCA